CCGGAGAACGGTCACTGAGGGGATAGGGCGCACCGGAGACCGGTCACTGAGGGGATAGGGCGCCCCGGAGACCGGTCACTGAGGGGATAGGGCGCCCCGGAGAGCGGTCACTGAGGGGATAGGGCGCCCCGGAGAGCGGTCACTGAGGGGATAGGGCGCACCGGAGAGCGGTCACTGAGGGGATAGGGCGCACCGGAGACTGGTTACGTTTGGTGCTTTTATGAGACGGTTTTCATGTACTGAGCATGCTTATTTCCCTTTTTAAGCCACAGCTGCTACACAGAACCCATCACCAGTACAGTATGAAGATAAAACAATTTGTCTTGGTGTCCAGGCCGGGTGAGTGTTCCTATTTTCTGATTCAGTGAAGTAGGATTGAAGACAAAAGAAAATAAAAGAATGTGCACAACCTGAATGTTGTATGTGTAATGTAATGTAAGGAACATGCTACCCCCAGACCACCAGTGTAAGGAACATGCTACCCCCAGACCACCAATGTAAGGATCATGCTACCCCCAGACCACCAATGTAAGGAACATGCCACCCCCAGACCACCAATGTAAGGAACATGCTCCCCACAGAGCACCAATGTAATGCCTTTTTCTAAAACATGGTGGCTCCTTCTCGAACTGACTACTAATTTAACAAAGCTCTACTCTGACTACCAACATAAGCGCACCCGACTGTGACATTAGATGAGTATGCGCACTCACAGTTGTTGGAGAACTCAACAAGTGAGTTGTTAATGCTGTGCACGCATGCCCTATGCTGTGGTATAGAAATCTTCCTGGTTTAGTGTTATGCTGTCTGGTGTGTGTGCATGCGCACTAGCCCCAACTCATCAAAATCTCCTGCTGGCAAGTTACCGGAAGTGATGCAAGTGGAGATTTTGATGAGTTGGCCATTTTGATAGGACACGGGGTAAAACACAACTTTCAGGAGCAGGATCAGATTATAACGCAGAGTACAAGCTGAAGATCTGTCAGCAATGTGCAGTTGCAGTGCGCATCCTTAAATATCCCGCTTGGCACCGCGGCCTGGAATGGACGTGCACATGCTGATGTGTGTGCGCACCACTCTGCTCACAAGGATACGGCCACGTCTCGACATAGGCCCATGATTATGCAAGAGCCTGCTGACAGGCTGATGCACATGTGCTCACACAGAATCTGTGTTCTGTGTACCAGCCGGATATTACTGACCGCTATTCTGCAAAATTCAGTCGGCTCCTATAGTTTGAGTCTGACACACTGCCTCCCACTTCCTGCACTTCACTACTGGCCTATTGCTATGACTGACATCCTCAGTGACCAATAGTGAGGTGCTGGAGGAGGTGGATTGGAACTCTTAGCCACAATGGCCAAAAAGGAGTTCAGTGAGAAACCAGTTTCTTCAAAGAGACACCCGGCATACAAGTGACACATATGACTTTACTGTGGGTCATGTATATTATAATGTTACCAAATATTACTTTTACCCTTCAGCCCCCCATGACTTTCCATGACCCCCAAGGGGATGCAAAGGGTTCCGTACTCAGTCCTATGCTGGGATCAGGCATGTGTTCTAAATAAATGCAGAACCTTCCAGTGTACACCGGACCGGCAGCTTGCTACTATACCCTGCTGAGGAAGATAACCTGCTATTGGTGAACTTATGTCATGCTCTCTTACCCAGGAAATGATGGGGAGCCGGTGGCTGAGAACTTCCGCTTGGAGGAAGTTGACCTCTCAGATGACCTTATAGACGGACTAGTCTTGGCCAAAACCTTGTACATCTCTGTGGACCCTTACCTGGTGCGTAGAATACACTGTTCTCTTTGTAGGATACAATACACTTTGCTGGTATGTGAATGCTCTTATTATGACACAGTCAAATAAACCAATGTTGCCAATTATATGCCCATTTATATACACTGGTGTTACTAATTTTTACACATTGATCCAAACCACTGTCACTGGTTCTATACAATTTTAAATCAGGAGTGAACCCTTTGATGTAGAATTTTGTGGCTGTGCTATCTGGCAAATGTCTGAAAGGAATTGACAAAAACAAAAACAAATTCTGGGGCAGAAAAACCATCTCCCATGTATGTATTGAATCTGTGAATGTATCTGCATGGAGTTTAGCTTTAATTATTCAGGGCATAGTACAATACAATACAACACAAAGTGGACTTTGGCTAAAAATCACATCAACATACAGCTCTGCGTTCTGAAATGAAATCATCTTACATTCATCTAGCTAAACAAACATATTTTTCTTTTTTCTTTCAAATGTTGTTTTTCCACTTCCTGGTCCTCTTAGGCATTAGTGATGTAATGTGCCCAAGCCTCTGTAGAAGAAGTGATTAAGGGGGGGACATGATCACTATGTATAAATACATAAATGGTCCATATAAAGAGCTTGGTGCCAAATTATTCGCTTTAAGGTCATTGCAAAGGACAAGGGGGCACTCTTTGCATCTGAAGGAAAAGAGGTTTAATCTTTGCATACGGAAAGGATTCTTCACAGTTAGAGCTGTGAACATGTGGAATAGTTCTAGCTAGCTCAGTTAATTGTTTAAAAAAAAAAAATCTGGACGTATTCCTAAATGCACAGAATATTAAAGGATATTGAGTTATTATAGGTATATTATGCATCAGAGATTGTCGATCCAGGGAATATCTGATTGCCTTATTGCACCTTCCCTGGTGGAATATTCAGCAGTGCAGGGTCCCGGGGCCCCGCACTGCCGACGGGCTTCTCAGTAAGGGGGCTGGTCTTGTGACTCACCTGCTCTCCCGGCCGCGTCCCTAGTAACAGGTGGCGGGACAGGAGAAGTGTGTGTCACATGCCCCGCACCCTGCAGTGCACACTGTCTGGCTGGGATGCTGGCTGTGAGGCTTGGCAGGTGAGTCCGAATGAGGAGCGGGGTGGGGGTGAGTGCGTTACTAGGCCCAGGGTCGAGTGCGTTACTAGGCCCAGGGTCGAGTGCGTTACTAGGCCCAGGGTCGAGTGCGTTACTAAGCCCACATATACCTATATAAGTGCTATATATAGCACATTCCACATCTGTGGAAAACGGGTCCAAATGGCTCTTTGACCCCTGCCTTATGGGATCAGGAAGGAATTTTTTTCCCCTGTTGGAGCAAATTGAACCACACTTTATAGGGGTTTTTTGCCTTCCTCTGGATCAATAGGGGTAATTGTGGGCATAGTGTTCTGTTTAGGCTTTTTTTTTCCATATCTCTATAGGTTGAATTCGATGGACTTGTGTCTTTTTTCAAGCTGATTAACTATGTAACTATATAACAAGCTTACCATCCTGGGAAGGTTACATCAGCAGAGCATTGCTGGGAAATCTCATCTGTAATCTCAGGAGATCTCAGGGAAAGGCATTTTCCTCCCCTGAGATGATGTGCATGGTCACATGTCCTAGTCACATGTGCCAGAGTTCCAGGAAGTAAAGGGATATCTAGTAATCTTCCCTTAGTAAAAATGGACACTGTCAAAAGACTGAGGAAGAAAAGAGAAATAAGGTATGTAGAGAATAAAAAGCCGGCAATTATCTAGAAGTTTGTGTTTATAGATTGTCATTACTAAACATTTCTAAAGGTGCGTTTGTTGATATTTTGAAGATAGGGGGAAATTCTTCTTTAAGCTAATTGCCTGATCCTTAAAGGGAACCTATACTTTCCTATGAAGCCCAGAGCAGAGGGCAAAGGATAAGTCACCAGTATTGCCTGTCCGCTACCTACAGCTAATTGTTTTTCTGTTACTAAATCATCATGTTTTGTTCCACACTGAGCCCCTGTGTGAAGGCAGCTACCTTAGTAGAGGCAGGGCTTTGCTTCCTCATGTCAGAACTGCCATTACCCCCCCCACCCCCCAATGACCGGTGATCTGATGACTGATGGAGGAATAACCGAGAAGCAGCAGGAGGGTGCAGAAATCCAGGATTCACAGAATGAATAATGCAGATAAAGGTAGATCCGTGCACTGCAGGTCCTGTAGTACAGCTTTCCTCCAGCAAGGAGCTGCACAGTAGTAACATCAACAAATCTGACTAGATAGAGAAGATAGAGATTCAATGTGCTGTTTATATTTTTATGTTCAGACATTTTTTTTTTCTTATTTCTCAGCGCTGCCGCATGAATGAGGATACAGGCACAGATTACATACAGCCATGGAAGGTCTCTGAGGTCCTCGACAGTGGCGGGATTGGAGTGATTGAACTTAGCAAAAACAGCCACCTCAGAGTTGGGGATATTGTCACAAGTTTTAATTGGCCTTGGCAGACAAAGTGCATCTTGGATGGCGACACAGTAAAACAAGTAATATTATTTGGTACACCTCAGTTGTTTTATTTCTTATTGGTTTTAAAGTGGCACTTTTTAAAATAGATCTTACTTCCGGTGTGGTGACCAAGAGTGAAGCAGGAGATACCTTTGCTGTGAGGACAGAAATTAAAGCACTTTTTTAATTTTTGGGGTGTGGGGTTCCACTGTAACATTCATCTTTTTTACCCAGCTTAGACCTATGTATATTCATTCTAAGGCCTTGTTCACACCAAGCACGTTCCAAGAGCATAGCAGTTACAGACCGGATCAAAACTGCATCCAATGTATTCCAATGGTATTTTGGGCTCTAGTTCACACCCCAGCCTTCAGTTCCAGACCATGTAAAAAAACTGCAGCAAGCCCTATTTTACCTGCTCTGGAATGCATGCAAACGCCCCAGAACGCAGTGAAAGCCCATTCTAAACTTTTAACCAAAAACGGGCCGGAACGCATCAGAAACGCGGCAAAAAACGCGGCAGAACCCACTGCACTGCGTGTGCAGAAACTCGTGCAGATATGGTCTGCATTTGGTGTGAACAAGGCCTTAGGGTTATGAGTACCTATCTCATTTCCATAGCATGCTTTGTTTTCTAAACATGTTGCACCTAATGCCTCCACAAATCTGATTTCTTGCTTGTGTGATTAGCTCACTGCTTTTCTGAGAAGTCTGTATGGACACAAATCAAATTTCAGGCATCTCTGGGTTTGTTTGTTTTTGTAGGATACATTCTAAAATCTCTGATTAGAAAAACGGAGACTGCACCAGTCTCTGCACCAGTTCTGAGGAAGGCTGACCTTCCTGTTGTTTGAACTTCTTGCACAGCCTCACAGAGAAACACAAGCACACAGTTAGATATGCATGGTGCATATGGCTTGAAAAACACAGGAGGGAAGCCACAGCTTTATTCTCTACCTTATTCAGTACAGCAGAGAATATACCATAGATACTGTATAACATAACTTATAAACACTGCCATCTAGTGACCGAAATTGTATACTGCAGGAGTTATTGCTATAGATACAATAATGTGTATTCTAACACCTGTATAAAATTCGGTGGGAAGAAGAATATAGTGAAGCAAGCAGTAATTTGTTCAGGGCAGAGACATCTGCAAAATAAGTTTGCTAAAATACTTGCAATGTATATAGTTTACTTGGAGAGGGTTTTTTTTCCCTACAAACCAAAACTAGGCTATTTTCTGTTATAAATATATTTATTTTCACAATCCTCCATATTTCATACAATTACATAATTAACCAACAATTAACATTAAGTCAAATACATATAACATAAAATTAATCCCCTTCTAGCCTCCATGTTTTACCTACTTGGTCATAACCCAGACTATATCTGCATAGTGCCACTCTTCCCCTTTTTTCCTTTTAATGTGAGTGTCTATTTTTTTTCACTTAATTTTTATATTAACTATCTATTGCATTTCATTTATTTAGTGTTATTCTTATCTTTACAATTTGAGTTCTTCAGCTTAGGGAGCGGTTTAGTACTTTCCATTCATTACTACTATGTGAACCTAGAGTACTATACATCGCCCATAATATATCATAGTGAGAAAGTATACATCTATTGATGCTCAAAGTGTGATAATGTGTGTCTTTATATGGAGTACTGTTAAATGTGCCTAATTGTATCCATATTATTTGTCTAGATAACTACCGGTGATGTGAAAAAAACATTATAATGCTAATCACTACCTACAGGGCTGGGCCATTTTAAAACCACCTGGGACTTGCATAATTCACCGAGATAACTGCAATAAACTCTGCATATAAAAAATGTTATCACTTTTAAGATCAGATTGTGTCTATAGACTACATGAGTGAGCTCATATTTAATAGTATTGTTATTCAAGGAGCAAGGAAAGTGGAAGGTAAAACCATTACGCCATATGTATTCAAATAAAAAAACCTGTAGTGACGATGACTACATATCAGCAAGTGGTACACCGTGCAACGAAAATGTTAAACCTCTTTATTTTTTATATAGCTGGACCCTAATCTTGTGGACGGCCACTTGTCACATTTGTTGGGTGCAGTTGGAATGACCGGATTGACAGCTTTCCTAGGTTTAAAGGAGAAGGGTCATGTGATCCCTGGAGCTAATCAGACGATAGTGGTTAGTGGTGCTGCTGGTGCTTGTGGTTCCCTAGCTGGTCAGGTAAGTCACTACATCTCCAACTGCTATAGGCAGTGTCACATTCTTTGATCCTCTGTATTATAATCGACAATTTATAACTTCCCACACTTCCCTTATTTTGGTTCTTTGATAAGGCTGTTACATAGATAAAATCTGTCAGCCTATTTAAATGGGGAAAAGTAGTCACTCTCCTGTTTGGTATCATCGAGTGGCCCACACTGAACATGAGCCAGTGAAAGTTAAAGCGAGAGATGTCTGAGGGAAAACTATAGACTGGCATTTCAAGGTAAAGGCTATGAGACCACCTCCAAGCAGCTTGGTGTTCTGTGACTACAGTTGCAAATATTAGGAAGTTTAGGTCCCTTGGTGTGTGTAGCCGACCTCCCCGGGCATGGCAACAAGAGGAAAATCGAGGCCAGATTGGACAGTGGGATCATGTGAATGGTAGACCAAGAGCCCAAAGATATACAAGCTGAACTCCAAGGTTATAGTACATCAATGTAGATAGAAATAATTTTGCACTATGGATAACTGATCTAATATGAATGCAGAAAGCTGCTGTAAGCAAAGTGCAATTGCAAATAGATATAAAGAAAAGTGCACCGCGCTATCAATTTAAGAAAGCTGACAGTATACTAACACTAATCCTTCTTAAAGTCTGTAATCTATACAAATGTTTCTACCAAAGTTCCTCAATATCAACAATTTCTGCTAAGGTGCATCCACAAATATTTTAAATATACAATAATAAAAAAAAAAACATTAAGTGTTTCTTAAAAGGTAACATTCAATAAATATCTTTTAGTGGGTTTAATAAAAATGACAGTGTAATATAAAAAAATTTCCATTCTTAAAATTTCATATAAATAAGTGTTGAATTGATCACAAACGTGATAAAAGAATCCACACAGTGCTTCACACAACGGAAGTGTCTTAATATTGATCACAAGCCCAGATCCCAAGTGATCCACGATATTCAACTTCAACGTTTTCAAGTGACATAATAAAGGGTGTTGCTCTCTCTGTGCAAAAATAAAAATTTCTTCCCTGCACTCACCAGAACAATTTGACCCTCTACACAACAAGACGGTCAAATCACACACGATGTAATAATGCACCAAAGCATAGTGGTTTTTCATCCTCTGGTTCCAGTACTTCTCTCCACTCCACAATCAGTTTGTTTTCTCAACCTCCTCTCACATGGCCATATCAAGAAGACAACTAACAAACGCTCATCATGCAGTCAAATCTCTCTCAACAAAGTCTATTTAAAACATATCAGTCCTACTCATATGAGCTACATTTCAAATATTGTTGGATGCACCTTAGTAGAGCTGCAGCTAATGATTATTTTCAAAATCGATTAGTTAGCCGATTATTACGTTCGGTTAATCGGATAAAAAAATAAAATACATTTTAAAAAAATGGCTCCAGTGATGGACTACTAGTTTGTATTGAGATTGTAGTCCATCACAGGAGCAAGCTTGGAGCGGTGGAAGTAAAAAATAAAAAAAAAAGTGTGGTGTGCAATATAGTGAAATGAAAAGTGTAAAATTATACAGCAATGAATGCAGAATGGCATCAGCTATAGAGGACTACAAAACCTCTACCTGAGCAGTCTTCCAGCAACTTGTTTCTGAGATTGGGCCTGTCTATCGGCGGCTGTCATCCGCCCACACCTGCTCCTCCTTACTTCTCCCCGCGTCCCTGTGCCGATTGTGGATTTGGGCAGGCAGTGAGCGTGATGCAGGGAGGAGGTGAGGTGTGTGGCGCGTGGATTCGGGCGGGTCTGAGGTGGGGAGGAGGTGTGGCGCGCAGCGTGTGTGGAGCCGTGAACAGGGGCAACCAATCTGAAGCCGATTAATTGATGATTGAAAAAGTTGTCAACTTTTTCAATCGATTATGTCGATTAGTTGTTGCAGCCCTACACCTTAGCAGCAGTTGTTGATATTGAGGCACTTTAGTAGAAGGACATTTTTATTTATTACACACCATAAGAAGGATTAGTGTTCATATACTGTCAGCTTTCTTGAATTGGTGGCGCTGTGCACTTTTCTTTATATAGTACATCAATGTTTGATCGCACCATGTGTCGCTTCTGAGTAAAAGTTAGATGTCCCAGGAGAACTCCACCGTTGAAAGAAAAACATAACAAAGCTAGACTGGGATATGCTGAAATGAATATTGACCAACAGCTTTGGGAGAATGCTTTTTGGACAGAGCAGACTAAAAGGGAGCTTTTTGGCAATTCACATAAACTCTGTCCACAGAGGAAAAAATGAAGCTTTCCAAGAAAAGAACACGGTGCCTACTGTGAAACCTGGAGGAAGCTCTGTTATGCTTTGGGTCTACTTTGCTGCATCTGGCACAGGGCTTCTTGAATCTGCGCTGGACACATTGCAATTTCAAGACTATCAAGGAATTCTGGAGCGCAAAATACCGGCCAGTGTCACAAAGCTCTGTTTCAGTTGCCGATCATGGGTCCTCCAACACACAGCTAAAAGCACCCAAGAATGGCTAAGAGCAAAAGATTGGACTATTCTGAAGTTGCCGTCTATGAGCCCTGATCTGAATCCTATCAGACATCTATGGAAAGTCAGGAGAATGCATCCTTCATACCTGAGACACATGGAGCAGCTTGCTATAAAATTGTGGATTCTTTTATTTTCCATGGAAGGGAACAAACAAATGTGTCCATGTTTTTATGTATAAGTTATGTACATATTACCTCTAATATTACCTCCAGCTTTCATGCTTGATCCTAGATTGGTCGGCTCTTCGGGTGTTCCCGTGTTATAGGGATCTGTGGAACGAATGAAAAGTGCGCTGCTTTGACCTCGGAGTTGGATTTTGATGAAGCTTTGAATTACAAGGAACCGAGACTTGGAGAAAGGTTAAGAGCCTGCTGTCCTGATGGTGTGGATGTCTACTTTGACAATGTCGGGGGAGAGATCAGTGATCTTGTTATAAGCCAGGTAAATGGAGTTGCCTATGTATTGGGGATGTGTGTATATCATATAAACCACGCTTGTTACCATGCACTTGACAAACAAACAACTGCATTTTAAAGTTCATATTGATGTTGGTTTTACTATAAGAACACAGTACAGTGGACTGAGCCGTCTGCTTTTGTGTCATCACAAATGATATCCCCGACTTTATGTAAAACCTTTCCAGGTCAAGTGATATCCTAGAACGGGGGTAGGTAAACTTCAGCCCTCCAGCTGTGCTGAAACTACAAATCCTATTATGCATCTCCCCCTGGGAGTCATATCTGTGGTTGTGGAGTCTTGCAATGCCTAAGGCTCCATTCACACATTTTCCACGCGTATTTGGCTCTACGAATACTTGCGGAATCGCACTAAACATAAAAAACAATGCATTGCAAAGTGCATTGTTCAGACTATTGCGCCCCACAAAATAGTCCAAGTGCAATTTTATGGGCTGATTCTGCACGTACCGGCTAGTAATAGCCGCAAACATATGGAATCTGTGCGTATGATAAGGTTTGCGCCATTTTCTGTGCAAAAAACGCTGCTGCTATGTGTGAATGGAGCCTAATACGAGTAAAAGTTTCACCACAGCTGGCGGTCCAAAGTGCGCCTACACCTGGTCTAGAAAAACATGGACTTTAAAGTGGTCAGTGCTTAAAAAAGAACTATGGGGTAAGTGTTTTTCCCCATAGTTCTCCTTAGGGTAACGGGAGGACATATACTAACCTCCTCCCATGACCCAAAGATCAGTATATCACGGGTACTGAGAGCACCACAGCTGGGGCGGATCCCGGCAATACTGTTGTGATCTACCCAGCTGCGTGAGTGACAGCTAGGTCTGCCTATCTACAGGATCGGAGGGGGGAATCCCTGCGGTGAGCGGTGACTGACGGTCACCGCTCTTTGCAGAGAGCTATCGGAAAGTGAGCGAGCGATGGTATGTGTTCGTTCACTTCCCGATCAATAGAGCCGACCTGTGACAGCTTCTTTGTCACAGGTTGGCTCTAACTATGAGGATGAGCGGAAATTACTCACCTCATAGTTCTCCTTTAACCACTGTTGTACCCTAGGCATGTTACATACGCTCAAAGTATACTGGGCATATATAGCACACCTTGTCTGTACCCCACTGCTGCCACTTTAACCAGCAATTTAATATAAATGACCGCTAGGACTTGCTGTGTAAATACAGCAGCCATCTTTTCATCAACGTTTATAAACTATTCAGACTTGGGATTTAGGGTTACAGAGTACTCTGGTTCCTGTGTATTCGGTTTCCTTCATCTTCAGATCAAAGGGGTGAGGGTCCTTCTCCATATGATGTCAGTTAAACCAACCTCCCCAGTCTCCCCAGTGGGGTCAGAGACAATCATTCCGAACTCTTCCTCACTCTAGCCAAAAGTAAACAAAAATCGGTGTAGTTAGGCTTTATTTATTTTCATTCAAATTTTGGGACATTGGTCTTGCAAGACAATCAGACAAATTGGATTAAATAATGACACAGAAATGCAGTAGTTTCCCTTTTAAAGGAAATCTGTACTTAGGGCACCATTGATGACCTACTTCTGGAAATGGTAGCTGCTTGCTATATTATAGCTACAACACTTGTGAGTCATTAACCCGGAACAAGCATGCACCAAGTGAAGTCATAACTATTCATTTGTGTACTTGGTGCAGATGAATGACTTCAATTTAATATATTTATGACATCCAGGCAGCCAGCATTTTCTGAAAAAAACGGTAGGCAAGGACAGCTCACATATTTCCCTCCGTGCAGGGCTTCTTTATTCATATTCCTCCTACACCATAACCTTGGATATGATAATCTGTTGACTCGAATAAAACGTCCCTTCTATTTAGTAAGAATGCAATTTTCAGGAAATGCTGATCTTATTGTACTTTTCTTGTAAGTAGATGAAGAAAGGCAGCCATGTTGTTCTGTGCGGTCAGATCTCTGAGTATAACAAGGACGTTCCCTACCCGCCTCCTCTTAACCCCCAAACAGAGTCGATCCTGAAAGAACGGAACATTACAAGGTTGGTGTCCTGTGTTATGATTGGCTAGGGATATCCTGTGTACATTTTGTAGTACTTTTGAATATTTACCACATGATGACCACACTGTGAATGAATCTACTTTCATTGCTGTAGTGTATCTGATAATATCCATGAGAACCAAATACTGATAGACATTCATGTGGTCAGGATCTGCTACAGACACATCCACAATGCAGTCCGTGTTCTCCATGGAAGCAAATTTAGTGTTTTCATTAGAGGTGCACCGAAATGGAAATTTTAAAAACATAAGCTCAGCCTCCTGTGACAGCGCTGTCTCCGCCCCCACACCGCTCTGCCGACAGTGATAGGCGGCTGATCGGTGCGGGAGGAGAGACGCCGGCCGCTCACAGCGCTCTCGTCCTGCAGCGCTTGGCCGGCTGTCACTTTCTTTTCTCCCCGCTAGAACACAGAGCAGCGCCCAGCGGGGAGGAAAGAAAGTGCATGTATTCCAGTGATTGCTGCATGACATTTCTTAGAGTGGATTTCCTAATGGTGACTACAGTGGACCATGCCTGTGATGATATGTGTTAAAGTGGCCCTTTCCATCAGAGGCCCCGTGTGACAGGTTGACAAATTAGGAGAACCGTTGGGAGATTGGGACAGATCGTTTCACCCTATAACCCTGAACAACGCCCTTGAGGCAGGATCACTAAGAATTATTTTAAAGTGCAACTGAAAGTATACATTTTTTTAAAGATATGGATAGAGTGGAGAGGGATTAGAAAACATGTCAGGATTCACCCTCTCTATTTGTCCTGGAGGCCGTTATGAGTGAAAGTGAAGGAAACTCTAGAATTTTGGGTTGTCATCAGAACAGGAAAGATGGGAAATTTACCAACCGGGACACTGGCTCTGGTGACCCCTGCTGACCTCCAGATACCTCTCTCTTTTTGGAGGGATTTTCTCTCACTTCCTGTTGTGGCTATCGGACAGGCAATGAAGGGAAATCTCTCCAATGGGTCTCGGGTGGCAAAGAAAAAGCTCACCAGGGTTATAAACCCTCCCTTACTCTATCTAAAACTAAACAAAAAATGTTTTGACTTTAGTTCTACTTTAATAAAAGCTTCAGATTTAAAAATGATTGAAAATTACATTTGACATTAAATTATCATGTTGAAGCCTGTAGGAGATTTTAGTGATTGGGTTTACATACACTTTAAATAAAATGTCAATGTGTTATTCTCTCTCTCTGTTTATCCAAGTTTGCAGAATCTTAACAAGTTAGACAATTAAACCTGTTTGCTTCTGTTTAACCCAGGGAAAGATTTCTTGTCCTGAACTATATAGATCAAGAAGCATCGGCCATTGTACAGCTCAGTGAATGGGTGCGGACAGGAAAGTTGAAGGTAAAACACTTACTGAATTAGATCTGTGTGTGTTACTGTTATATATATATATATATATGGAGTTCTACTTTAATAGGTTCCTTTAGTCTTAAAGAAAATATCTTTAAACTAAAGATATTTTAGTCTTAAAGATATTTGGTTTGGGAAGATCACATTTTTTATTAGGAGACTTGGCCTATAGGAAATAGAGACCTCCTCCTGAAAATACTAGATACCCTGAACACAGTAAATCTGTTCACTACTGCAGCGATTGGTGATTAGTTCTTTACAGGAGCACATATTTAAAAAATTGATTTTAGCTTTAAGATGCACAACAGGCCGTAGTTTTGGCACTTTGACTTATAGCAGATAGCTCCCTAGCTTCCAAAAGTTCTGAAGTCACTTCTACGTACTTTCCCAACCCCATCACATATATAATGTTGAATGTGTTCTTGGTATGTTAGTACAACAGCAAAAAGTTTCCCAGCACACTCACCAGCCAGCATGCACAAAAAATTGTCTCACCACTAAGGTTAATAACAGAGGTTTGGATACACGTCTTCTGCAGAAAATGTGAAAGCCGCACCGCCTCACCAAGGCACCTCTTATAGTGCGGTCCTAACTCTAAATTATGAGAGTCTCCATCTTGGAGCACATGTAGCAAAAGATAAAATTGGGTGAAGGTTTGTCAGGAGGAAGCCCAACCTCCCTTTTGCATGCTGGCTGGTGAGTGTGCTGGGAAACTTTTTGCTGTTGTACTGTATAAAGCCCTTCCATGTGCACCTTGCTGTAAAGCTGGTAACACATTGACGAGTGCGTTTGCCATTTGTTTTGCTTGGTATGTTAGTGTTACATATTACACACAGAATATATGTAAGCTGATCTAGGAGGAGTGAGCAGAAATAAACACTTCCTCACTCCTCATCTCTATCTGTAATACATGGTAACCATTTTGTTTCTTGGACAGGTTAAGGAAACCATCGTTCATGGGATTGAAAACACAGCAGGTACCAAAGCAGATTACATTTTATGACAAGAAATGTGGATAGAAAGCTTAGTAGATTTACAGCTGCCCAGTAGCTTAGGAACCAACAAAACATCTTATTTTACAGAAATTTGAACTAGAAACTGAAATTTAGCAGTTTTTAGAAATGGTATTGGCTGTTGGTAATGGTACTTTAGTAGATCTGTATACTATTTACATTTTCCTTTCTATGCCTCATGTCATTAGCATGAACAAAGTGGGCTTATGGCTATAAAGCAGACACCTAGAGATGTCTGAATATACTTCCCAGCTTCAGGAGTAGCCCAGCAGCCTAAAAGATACAAATTCTAAGACTTTTCATGAATAGTTGTCTTTCATACATTCTATTGACTCATTATAGAAATGAGCAGCCTTACTGGCCCATAGGAAGTGCAGGGGCAGGCCAGCTATTGACACACCAAGAAGTGTGGGATTTGTGTCTTCTGCAGCAGTGTAAATACCCAGCACTGCCAGGTAGGTGGGAGCATGTGACTTCTGCTCATCATGGATTGCTTAGGCCTGAATAACCAGTTGGTCACCTACCAAGGAAAATAACATCATCAACCTTGTGTATGCCCTGTGACTGACTGCTGGAAGAACAGCTCAGTGGGGGAACATGGAGAATGTGAGTAAAAGGTGGTTGGATGGTTAGTGACAGACAACGTCTTTGCCGGCAAACCGACAGTCTCTTAAGCTTCGCTGGGACATGGACTGAATGGTTTAGTGCAGTTACAGTAGATTCTGTTGGAATTGATCATACAGTATCTACCAAAATAGCAATATACACTGAGTGGTCAGTTTATTATGACCACCTGACGTTTGTAGGCAAATTAGCTACAATTAGCTATAATTTCGCGCTGAAGTTGCTAGAGGGCCAGAACATTATAAATAGGGAAGCAGGTTGTTTACCACGACAGTAGAAGTGATTTTTGTCCTAAATGACAATCAGGATCTCCATTTTCACTCATATGCTTCGAGAAACAAAATGCCCAGATCTGTATACTATCAATACAAGTCAGGAATTATTTTTGCCATGCTGTATGGAGATTAACACAAAGAATTTTCTTTTAGGTGCTTTCCTGTCAATGATGAGAGGAGGAAACTTCGGAAAGCAGATAGTCCAAGTTACTGAATAACTGTACATCACACTAACCCAGATTAAAGCTCAAGGATCAACCTACTTCATCTATTACAAATAATTTGTTTTAAATTGTCAGGTACAATAAGTAAAACGTTTGCACTAATCAATTTGGTCATCTCATGATTTATTAATGATACAAAAACTCAGGCAGTAGAAAGGCAAATGAAGAGGGTTTATACTCCTGCCACCCGCTCCTCTGATCTTTGCTTTTTTGCACAGCTATGACCGCCTGAAGACTCTTTACATTCGACACGTTGGGACTGGGAGTGTTGGATGCCTGCATCCCCTGCCACATGCTTGTGGTCCTTTCCACTGACCCCCAGGCCAGTCCTCAGTCTTGACGTGATGAAGGGACCAGTGGAAGGAACCACAGCAGAAAAAACATAATTTTATATGTGAACAGACTCCTGCTCTGCCAGAGAGAGCAGATTGGAAGAACAGGTGCCTTTTCTGGCACGATGGATGGAATGTAATTAGCAACATCACCAGTAGGAGTAGGTCACCCAGTATCTTCCAAGGGCCATGGGATGGGTACTTCCACCTTTTGGCCAGGAACACATTAGAGAATGACCAGTGAAATCAGAGTAAAGGAAGGTAGAAAGAAGTGAAAGGAGAGATAAGAGGAACAAAGGAGAAGAAAAAAGAGAGGAGGAAGAGAACAGAATCAGCAATATATGATAGGGGCGATATAGATTTTGGGTAATAAATGTTTAATAATATAACGTAAACGTTTTTTTCAACATTTTTGGTACTTTTTTCATTATAAAAAATAAACCCTCCCAGTGGTGATTAAATACCACCAAAATAAGGCTTTATCTGTCCCCAAAAAACGTATAAAATGAATCTCAGTATAGAGTTGCATGACGGAATAAACGTCAGTCAAAGTACCACAGCGCTGAATACAAAAAAAAATGGTCTGGCCAGGAAAGAGGTTTAACACCTCGGTCAGCAAGTAGGTACAGCCATGCCTCGGCAAATGTCTCTTGAAACGGGAAATAAGGCAATGATAGAAATTGTGGTGGGAGATTTCCCTATGTAATTGCTGGAGAGACTAAACATATGTTATATAGGCAAATAGAACCATTTATTTTAAGATACACCTTGACAAAGTCCATGGGCTAGTAGACAAAACAGTTTGCTGTTTGCGGTGGCTACTGATCCTCAGTTCCTGCTGCCCGACAGAGCCCGGCCTACATGACATCACAGGATGACCTGGAATGATGCCAATATTGGTAGACGTACTCCTCTACTTACACCACAGAGAAGCGGCTGGACTTGGAACCCCTGGGAATGACAGTGCAGCTATTTGTCTTTGGATTGAAGTTGTTTGAATCAGCGGTGTAACTCCGATTATAGAAAGCCAGTTGTTGGAGGTTTAATGCATGAATGTTGTGGTTTGAAATATGATTGGTACATAGCTTTCCATGCCTTTCTTATCCACTTGGGTACTGCTGCATGCTTCTCTGTCTACATGGCAAGTGCTTTTCTGATTTATGTTTTGGGAGTAGCTGCCCATTTGTGCTGTTAAAAAAATAAATAAAAATGCAAGTACTTATGATCTTGGATGTGCTCATGCATATTATTTTATTTATTATTACAGGTATTTATATAGCGCCGACAATTTACACAGCACTTTACATGGCTGCACATTCACATCAGTCCCTACCCTCAAGGAGCTTACAATCTAAGGTCCCTCCCTCACATACATACATAGACGGCCAACTTAGAGAGGAGCCAATTAATCTTCCATCATGTCTTTGGAGTACGTGGATTGTTCCATGTGCAAGTGTATATTGTTAAACAGCATCCGCTATCAACAAGGACAGACTGCTGATTAGCTTCTCCTATCATACAGTTTTATTTCTGCCATGGTCTGTATGACACATATGCATGCGCTAATGTTCTACAGTCCATACCAACTCCCAGGACAGAGTTTATTGTAGAATAGTGTAGACAGTTTGTCTGATACCAATATCCAGCAGATGTGACTGATGGTTGCAGGTATGTGAAGTTTGATAACGTCAGTATGTTTTAATGTGTTAGGCCCCGTTAACACCAGGGCGGATGTGGTTCAGCGCGGTATCCACACAGATTTTAAAAGCGTGGCTTTGGGCATTTTTTATTGTGTTTCAGCGCTGAAGCGCAATTAAAAACATGCTGAACAGCGCGTTTCCATTCAAGTGTGTATATGGGGAAAAAAGGCTCAGGGAGCATTTCAGGCAGCAGGCGGTTCGGCACACGCAATCGAATGAACGGTCGCCATAGGAATGTATGGTATAGTTTATGTCGGCAGTACAGCGCGGACAAATCCGTGCAGCCGAACCGCCCTGGTGTGAATAGGGCCTAACAAAGGGTATTTGATGCATGAAGGGTACTGTGTTTAAAGGGTACAAATTGTTATTATGAAGGGGATACGTTCTGTCCGATGCTTTTGCTGAGAAAATGACACAAATAGGACAGTATTGTTTTATTTTCATTTAAAAATATATCTTCTACATAATCATAAATATTAAACAAGTGCACACTGCAGTGGTGGGAATTGCAATACAAAAGAATTCATTTTCAAACTGTACTAAGCATCTTTCAGAACATGCTGAACAGAACATGTGCACATTAGTCAGATATGACGGCATACAGATTCTGGGGGGGGAGAGAAAGCTGCAAAAGGAACATTACATTTAATCAGCAAACATCCAGTCTTCAAACACAAAGTGTTTAATTGTCTATTATGGAATGAAAGTGTCTCAAATAATAGGATGTGTTTATATATATATATATATATTTATATATATTAGTGCAATATAAATGGGTAAGCCGTATTAGTCCAGTAGACAAGATGTCAAAAAAGACAAAAACACATAACCAACAATAGTAACCAATCAGATTTAGAAAAGATGAATGGAAACCTATGTCAGACAAGCTTGGCTCCGTTTTGGTGAAAGCAGAGCTGGCCAGTTATTTGACTTACTCATATGATCTCTGAGTCCATTCACACCTATATTGATCAATGCATCCAGGGATAGTGATTGATCCCTAACCGCATGTATTTGTATAATATACGATTACATGCAGCCTGCCGGTGTTTAAATGCAGTGGCAGTCACCCGATCATTAAAGCGACATTAAACCCTCAGATTTTTTAACATAAACCAATACTGTAATGTGTGCCTTACTGTAATCCATGGTTGTTTCCCTTCTCTTTGCTGCTCTTCCTTTTAAATCTATCTGTTCTCATGCTCTGCAGCAGACTGCCTTGTCTCAGGAATGGAATGCCTGTGTATAGGCTTGTAACCTGAGCCAGCACTACAGGAAGAGGCCCCTGAGCTGAAAAGGGAAGTTCTCCTCTTAAAAGAGCAGCAAAGAGAAGGGAAACTACCATGGATTACAGTAAGGCGCACATTACAGTATTGGTTTATGTTAAAAAATCTGATGGTTTAATGTCACTTTAACTTGAACGGGTGAGAGCTGCCGCTTGTAACGGCAGATTAGGGATTGTAAGTTCCTGATGCAGGAATCCCTAATCGCACGTAAAATATAGGTATGAATGGAGCGTTGGACTAACAGTTATGTAAAGTCTTGTATGAATGCGTTGTTTAGGAAGCTCATTACACTACAGAGTTGTAGGTTAATCTAGGGCTGGCCATGTACCGTACAATCTTCTTTACCTCCATTCACACTAGTGTGATTTGCCATGAGTCTTGTCATGCTACAAAAAGCCAGCTTGAACAAGATTGTACAATTAGACTAATTTGCGTGGCTAATATAAACATTGCAATTTAAAGTGACGTGAAACCCTTGTTTAAAAAAAATCAGCAGTGTATACGGCCAATTAAATTAAATTGCACCATGTAATGTATTTTTAGCAGCTTTGATTCTGCAGCCCCCTCCCCTCCTGTTTACGGGTCTCCTTTGCCTAGCAGGTTGCAGAGGACACACCAGGGTGTGCTGGATCCTGGCTTGCAACTGAGCCGAGCTGTGTGCGTCCGCTGACACACACAGCGCTCTATAAGCCATGCCCCCTGCCGATTCCCTCCTCACGGTAATTTGACAGGCAGGTGCAGCAGCCTATTGCTGCCCTGCTTTCAGTGGCCTCGGGATTCTGCCCCTCAAAACAGAACTTCGGGGGACACAGCAGATCGTCCGAGATCCGGTGTTTTATCGAAAACTCCAACTCGTCGACATCTCCAATGACCTGACTTCCGGTTTAGTTAGAAGTAAGAGGTTTGGACTATTGTCAGACTAATACAGCACGTTAGTAATGTGACTTGCCCGACCCAATATGGCTGTCACTTGCGGTTATATTCAGTGGGGTAACTCAGATTAATAACGTGCTGAATTAGTCTGACCGTATTTTATTATAATACTTTACTGCTGTGTAGTATGTGTATATGGAAATGGCGCACGTGCAGTACAGGCCTCTCAGCCAAACCTCTTACTTATAACTAAACCGGAAGTCAGGTCATTGGAGATGTTGACAAGTTTGAACTTTCGATAGAACAGCGGCCGTGGTGATGTAGACCCTAGGTAAGTGTTTTCGGTGGGGGGAGGGCAGTTTTTAGCATTTTTTTGTGTGTGCGTACTTGTCTGAAATGAAGGCAAAACTGGTGCCAAAACAGTCCTTTGTTAACCGATAAGTCGTACAAGGAAATAGTGGTCTCTGCTGATGTACAGATTTCTATTGCCTAAGAAGAAACCTTAATAAGGTTCAATCAGGTGGATTGATTAAACTACCAGTAAGATTTATATAAACACATTTACAAGTATTTATAAAAGACAGGTCATTCAATAGCAGCCAGACTACCTCAGAGTGGGTGGATAGTAAATTGGGTTCGGACCTTGTACAGGATATCTGTGGAAACCCGGAAGGCATGTACCAGAAAACATTTTACACTTAGTTGATAATCTAGTTACAATTCTTCAGCAATAAATTCACATTACAAGAAAACATCTTTACATAAATCATTTCCCTTCAGTGACGGCACATAGTGTCCTGCCTAAGTGACCAACAAACTAACATATAACAGACAGAAAAACAAAGACTCAGATAGTCATTTCATTTATGACTAAACAATCCAACCGTCAGGAGGGCAATACAAGAGGTTGTACAATGACCGTGTAGTACATGGACCGATAGGAGCATCCCGAGCATACAGCAGTAGCCTTTGTCCCCATTCATAGGGCACTCTGTTTGGAGGACATCATTGAAGATTGTATAACCATCAGGCCAATGTCCAGTGTATGGGCAAATTAAGAAGATTGGAAACATAACAATCTGGAGTTATGTTCATAATCAGTGTACATTTATATTACATGTGATGGATATGTTCCATTATATTGTCTCTTATTTATTAAAATAACATCATTATTTTGCCAGGAATTAAATGAACTCAGTGTATAAGGAAAATCAAAGAACATGGATGGTTTTTGGGCAGCAGTGATGTGTGCGAGTTCTTCCCACAGGTACTTTTACAAGCGAGACCAGACCAGTAACATTTAGAAACTCCTATGCAGAAGTATTGTGTCAAGAAGAATACAAAGTCATCATTTGTAAAGCCAATAGTGCTTCAAAGACCTTTAAAAATAAAGAAATGTGCCCTGAGCAGTCACACTTCCCCTTAAAGTGACACTAAACTCAGGACTTAAATCTTGAAATTGCATTAAAATATTATTTATTATTTGTGTATCAGGGCTTGTTCACACCAAGTGCAGAGCAGTTACAGAACGCATCAAAACTGCATCCAATTGTATTTTGGGCTCTAGTTCACACCAGAGCATGTGGGAAAACTGCAGCAAGCCCTATTTGCTCTGGAACGCACAAACGCCCTGAAAGCCCATTTTAGGTAGGGGGGGATGGCCCAGAACGCGTCAAAACACACTGCATGCGCAGAAACTCATGCAGATCTGGTCCGCATTTGGTGTGAACAAGCCCTTACGCGGTTGTAGATTCTCAAAATTATCTCTGAATCGGTGCCGACACTGTCCTTCCTTCTGGAGGGTGGCTACTTTTGTTCCCCATGGTCCCTGTGTGTGTTGTAAAGTAGCCACCGCTCCAAGCTCACTCCTGTGATGGACTACAATCTCATCTTTAGTGTACCCATTTGTAGTGAGATTGTAGTCCATCACAGGAGTGAGCTTCGGGCTGTGGCTACTTTAGAACACACACAGGGACCATGGGGAACAATAGCAGTCACCTTCCAGAAGGAAGAACAGTGTCAGCACCAATTCAGAGATGATTTGAGGATCTACAGCCGAGTGATACACAAAGAAGACACATTTGTGTTCATAGTTAGGGTACTTGAATGTATTTTTAAGATTTAACTCCCGAGTTTAGTATCACTTTAAACGGTGCGGTGAAGTTAAAGACACCCTGTCACCAGACTATCCAAAAACGTATACGGAGGGGAATTTACCAAGACTGGAGAAGAATCTGGTGCAGCTCTACATGACAACTGCTTTCATTTTCAAAACTGATTGAGCCGAGGATAGAATCTAGCTACTGTGCACAACTGCTCCAGCTTTAGTAAATTACCCCCACTGTGTTTTTAAGGCATTTCCCATGCATTGCCATTAAATATCATGTGCATTTTTACCAAAACGCAGAAAAAGATGCAGCAAGCAGGATTTTTCAAAATGCAAAGCACTGCCCTCTAACACAACACACCGGTGTCCAGAACTTCATCAAATATCACAACAACTAGTGATCCTGCATTGTAGTGCACGTAAAACACAATAGTGTGAACAGGCCCTTAACTTTGATGTGATGTTCGCAGTCCCAACACTGGCACCCAAGTGACATTTTATAGGATTTCCCTTCCCCCCTCCACCGACAACTACATAAAAAGTTATGTAGGGAGGGGTAGAAGAGCTGGGCCAGCAAAGGCAGTCATTAAACCCTTCCAGAAGAGGAAAAGGCTTTAACATGCAAAGAGGGAGGAGAATGTGAATTAACTCTTCCCAAAGTAGTCACATATTCTAGTTCAAAGGCACATTGTACATGAATAAAAAATAATTTATGGAAAGCAAAAAACACCGCAAATGAGCATTAAAAACGATTTTTGTGTGCTTTTACATGCAACTTTTTAAGTTGCTAATGGCGGCTCCATTGCTCATGAGATCGATGACATCTCGGCCTGTGCAGAAAGTTGAACACTAAGCCGAAATAAACTAACACCCAAGTAAAGATTTTAAAACCAGCAGCACTGAAGTCACAGCAATAGTCCTAGAATTCAATATTCAGGTGTGTGTACAAGCACACACAAGCACGCACACACACACGTTTTGTACTTGAGGTTAGATTCTGGATTGGTCTAAAAGTCAGAAAAAAAAATTGCAATGGCCCTAATGCCCAAAACATTTTACCAAAACAAATAAACGAGGTAAGATAAACGGATAGAAAAAGAGAATGGCCTTCCAGCATTAGTCCTGTTTGTTGGTATTGAACAATGTATCTGTGTAATCATGGTTTATTCTCCAATACAAATCCTGATAATAGCTGCAATACTGACAGAAATTGACACACTAAAGTGTCATCTTTAATGCCCAGACATAAAAATGTAGCTAGAAGGTGGCCATAACAAGCAACACGCATGATTTTGAGCTTTGCTTGCACATATTGGTATATTTCACAGTACATCAGGGGGCAGTAATGAGTGACAATGTCAATCAGAGACATTCCTTATTGCACAAAGATTTTCCAATGTGTTGATTTAAAACCAATGTTCACATGTGCCATTAAGACCCCATTCACACTGAGTTACATCAGAAAAAGCGTTTTTTCAGAGCGACTTTGACAGACATTGAGCTACATTGCAGATATTGTCGCACTACGTAGCACTACTTTTGGCATGGACTTCGTAGCTGCTACATTGGGCTGTATTGATACTACGTAATTCTTCCTGTTGCCCGCTTATATTTCTGTGCAAAAAAGTGACACTTCTGTAGTGCGACATTGAGCTACACCATTGAAGTATATTCAATCCTCCGAAAAATAGGTCATGTTCAAGCGACAAGCTTGAGCTACAAGCTACAGGTGACATTGAGCTGTGAGATGTGATCAGCTCCATTAAAATGCATTGGACGAGCTACATTGTGCTGATTTTTGAGCTGAAATTGCGCTACAAATCGCTCAGTGTGAATAGGGTCTGATATTGTCAGCGCAGTGTTATGGTGGGTCCCAAAAAGTCCCTCTTTGCCTACTCTTCTCAGGGGGATATATCTGTAGGCAGCTTTGTTAGATCAAGGCTTTTCTGCATCCGATTCTGAACTTTCATAGGAGTTGAATTCTAAAGGGGGTCTGTCTTCCAAACAGTGATAGTTCAGTTTTGGGTACATGCTGGTGGTTTAAATCTGACCTGCAGAGACGCTGCCAGTGACATCTCTGTATTTAAGTCGTACAAGCTCAGTCTGTTGCAGCACGAGGCTCCAGAGTGATTCATCCCACCAGCATTTTCCCAAAGCCAAATTGTCAGGTTTGAGTATTTGGACTATTACTGGATGGGTGGGGTCTATCATTTTCCAACAAGAGAAAAGACTATTGCATAGTGACAGGTTATAACTATAGAATACTCCATTTAGAAGCTCAGCATCTTATGATATTTACGATCCTCGGAAGTATTATGTGGTGGGTCTTCAAAATGAATGTAGGCCGGATCAAATTTAAGTCATTATTGTGAATGATCTGCAATTCACTGAAATAGTGAAATGAGTATATGGCCTTCGGAATCTTGGCTTTCCAGGTATAACTGAGGATTCTATGTAAAAATGCAGTCAAATACTACACCTATGTTTCCCTTTCATCAGGTAGCTGTCAAGTGCTCTGGCAGTTCTTCAGCTCAATGACATAAGACCTTAGTTCTGGGGTATTGAACACCCACACTTTCCTGCCCAAGACCAACGTAACCACCACCAGCCACAGCTTCATCGGCGAGAGGAAAGTTGCTAATGTGCCGTAGGTCAATAAGAGGAAAAAGCAGGAATAGATCTGCCAGGCCAGAAGGAGGAGCATAAAGAAGTGAACTGGCACACAGACAACCTTCCTAGTATGTCGCAGGTGGGAAAAGAAACCGTGTCCTTTGCATCTACACAGTAAACACCAGCACAGGTATGCAGTCAGGGGGATATTAAAGAAAGCCATCTGCAAAAAGAAAAAAAAAGGGTTTATGCATCTATTATACAGGATTATGGAAACACACCTTTTGCTAAATACTGTACCATAAAAGATTAGCTAAGGCACATGAATGTGGGGGAAACATCCTCTGAGCTAAATCAGTAAAACAACAATAGGTTTTACCTGGAAAAGTAGTTCTTTCACTTTGGTACAATTATAAAACACATTGCAGGGGCCAGTTGCTCCACAGTCAATTCAAAATACACCCCTCCTCCCATGCTTTTGCTGCAACCGGCCATTAAACTAGAGTCTATGTGTATAAGAAGATGGCGCGCACAGGGGCTTCTGCTTCTCTTACCGTTTGTCACCATAATGCTTACCAGGCTTTTTTTAGACCAAATAGAGCAGCCTAGAGTGACAACGCTGCTCCTCCATAGGAGTACAGTGACTCCAAGGACTGATAAGCTGCGATATATTACATTGTTTGTGTTTAGTTACTTTTTAACTACAATAAAACCCTACAGTGGAAACCTGCAAAAAATGTTATGTTTTTGTTTATTTCTGTTTAACCTTCTTAGCATTACTGTGGAATAAAAACATAATTTCTAGATTATATGTAAATAACTAGAGGTGCACCAAAATGAAAATTTTTAGACCGAAACCCAAAATAGAAAAAAATGTCAGGCCAAAAGTGAACAATTCTTTTTTTTTTTTACATGTAATTTATTTCTTTTTAAATATTTTTAGTTTTTTTTTACTTTACTGCTGAGGGCTTCGGTGAAATATCAGGAGTCTAAATCCATGATATTTTCCTTTTACAATAAAAAAAAAAATCTTCAATCTCTTTTTCTGCAGCCCAGCACTGAATGAACAGGAATCCTCTATACTGAGTGCTCCTGTTCATTCATAAATTGAGGACATAGTATGAGTTACTATGTACACAATCATGAATGAACAGGAAGTGATGTAGATCACTTCATATTCATTCATAATTGGTACATAGTAACATAGTACCCGCTCTCCATCCTGGATCGGCTCTCACAGGAAGTTGAATGGGCGGTGTGGGAGGAGAGCTTGGTCTCATTTGACAGCTGACTCTTCGCCCTCACTGCTGGCTCGGCCTCCTGCAACAGCTGTTTTTGCCTCCACACAGCTTTGCAGCCTGATCTGTCACAGGAGGCTGAGCGGGGTGGTTCGGGAGGAGAGCTCAGGAGGTTCACAGGAGGCTGAGCGGGATGGTTCGGGAGAGCTCAGCCTCCTGCGACATCGCCTCTCACAGCACTCTCCTCCCCGCCCAGCCTCCTGGCAGTTTCTCTCCTTTCACTGGACGCTGTCCTGTTTCACAAGGGACACAGAGCAGCGCCAAGTGGGGCAGAGAGAAACTAAGAATGCACTGCAATTTTGGCCACAAGGTTTTGCCCAAAGTGCCATTTTCAGCCGATATGTTTCGGCGGCTGAAATTTTGGTGCATCCCTATACATAGCTTTGGCCATTTGTCCCAAAACAAATACTTACATTTGGACATTTACTGTTCTATCAAATGATGATGAAAGAGGGTTGTCCTCAGAAACGCGTCAACTGAAGGAGGGTCAGCGTGCAGATGGTTTCGGCTTAGTACTAGCACTTACTTTCCCTCACCCTATTTTCGTGTATTCATCTTGGTGGTCTCCTAAGATTATATCACTTTCCGCTCGTTTATACAAGCTGGTTTGTAAGTACGTTTTCAGCTGTGTGTTTTATCCTTAATAAATCAATTTTACACTATGGAGGCGCTCCTTTTGCTTTGTCCTCATCATGTTCTATCAAATGTAATGACAAATCTATGGGCTAATAGGTAAATAATGAAAATTGCTCTGACTTATAAAAGGGTAAACAACCCATAGTACAGAAATGATGAAAGAAATCAGTAACTCTGTTGGGCTCTGTTCAAAGTGCAGTAATCCAAAGCATCCGTCATGTTTCAGGCAGAACAATTCCGGCGAGTATCTCAGGGTTACTGCACCTTGTTTGGCTTAATAAAAAAATCTCACTCGTGTTTCTTCACACTTCACCAGAACTTTCACCAAACTAGTACCAGTATTATAATGGATCGTACTGCAGAAGATTATGTGAAATACACACACCTGTGCTATTCCAACCATGTATGTGAGACTTCCATCCAAGAAATGGCCTGCAACAATCACTCCAAAGGCAAAGCAAGCACCCATGTGGCCATCTATAATTTCTCCAATGAACCAGGGACCTGAAAACAGACGTAAAAACGCTCTATTAAAAAATAACTGGAGAGACCTTGATTTGTGTAAGCTTGTGGAGTCCACTGTCCTCTACTGAAAAAAATACTTTCAATTTTAGCGCATGCAAACACAATATAATCTCCACATTTTCTGTTAAACATGAAAGATGACAATTTTTTTTTTACATTCTTTATTTGTAGACAAAAAGGGTGGGGTACATAGAAAAGGCGAACATGCGGAGGCCACATGGTCTTGCACGATATTTGAGATATTTGAGTCAGACAGTGAGGAACATATTTCACACATGTTAACAAGTTGTAAGATCAGGTCAGGTACATGTCCCCGCCCTTAAGGCATTTTATGGTGAATATAAACTAACACAAAGACAAAATAAGAAGGGAACAATGTGTTTAGGCGAGCGGCCGGGTATAGCCCGAGCCAGTTCACCCTCAAACAGCACATACAAGACTGACATTTACAAACACGGACTCACAAAAGAGAGAGCAGAAAGAAACGTAGATAGCGTGGATGGAGGTCTCGCACCCCGGTGGTCCCAAGCCGCCCCACCCCGTGGGTAGTGTAATTGCGTAGTGCCTCAGTCTCCAGCATCTTCCCGGCACACTGTAGAGAAAGCTGCCGAGCCCCTGAAGTGGATCCAAGCTCCCCAGGTGGCCACATACCTGGACTGCGATTCCAGTAAACTGGAGGTCAGATCCTCCATCAGTCTAATCTCCTCCACCCGCCTCACCCACATGTTTACGGAGGGAGAGCGGGTCTGTCGCCACAGAGCTGGTATACAGGCTCTGGCCGCGTTCAGCAGGTGTATCAGCAGCGAGCGTTTATACGCCCTTCGAGAGAGCGGTGCCAGGTGGAGAAGATAGACCGACGGGGTGAAGGGCAGCTCGTGTCCCGTGATATCCGCTATTGCATAGGCTACGCTGACCCAAAACGGTTGAACCTTCGGGCAGTCCCAGAAGACATGTAGCAGGGAACCCACCACTGTTTCGCAGCGCCAACATAACAGAGAGACCGATGGGTACATGACATGAAGGGTCGTGGGCACCCTGTACCATCTGGTTAGGAGTTTATACCCAGGAAGATGACAATTTTAAGCTGACAATGTAATAGTATAGTGCAGGTAACATGTTCTCTTAATGGAGGCATCAAGGGTCTATTAGACAGAGTGCTCTTTACCTAGCTACAGTTGCCAGTGATTGACAGCTGTGAATAAATCCACGGAACATTTAGTAGGCTTACCTATGGCTGTGAACAGAGTCAGCAGTACAATGGCATAGAAGAAGACATTGTTCTTGCTTAGCACATGCATAGAGAAAGAGGCCAGCGTAAAACATCCAGGGGGCCCTAGAAGCATTAAAAAAAATATATATATATTTTTATATAAAACAAATACATTTTGTTGTGAAAACAAGCAGAGTCCAATCTAATATCATGTCACAAATGTCTTCATTTACTAATTGAAGTTTTACCTTATTAGCTAGATGAGCCTCTCATTGTGAGCTGATTTAAAATCAGGTTTACATGTTACATGTTTTATTTGGGATTAATAAATACCCTGTTTGGTTTTTTTTTAATTATCAGCTGAAATATGAGCAAAATGCAAAAAAAGGTTTAATACTGTAATTGATCTGACAATTAGAGTATTCAACAGAGGCATACTCGCCACCTTTGAGCTGCAGTAGCTATGTGAAGGTACCTTAAGCCTACGTGTGATCATTGGGATTGATTGTCATAGTGATCACTTGATCAACTGTGCTTATTGGTTCCTGATCATCAGTAAATACCTTTGGCTGTCAATGACAGTGCACCTACCCAATAGGATAAGTGTTTTTGAATGGTGGGGGCATTGTTAGTAGTTGTACAGTATATTCAAGGGGGGAGGCTCAGCTCCTACGGAAAGTCTAAGTATGAATGTATAGTTGCTCCCCTCCATTTTCATTAAAACTGCCCTTCCTGAATAGATATGATGGAGGAGGCAATGGTCAGGGTCCCTTAATTCCCTCCCCTTCCTTTTAATGACTGTGGGAAGAGGGCATAGGCATCCACCATTCTCCCACTCAGACGTCAGAGCAGTAGTAGTGACATGATCGATCTTCTCTGCCAGCAGAAATAAAATCATGCTTGACTAATGCGATGTCACTTCACCTCCATAGCTGGAAGAAACAACTATCAGCTGGTTTCCAAGCAGAGGAGCTGCAAAATTAGCAATCAGTGGGCAGAGAAAAAAAGAGAAGGCAATGCTAATTGAAAAATGCATCTCAACCATACACAATATCATGTGTGCAAATCTAAAGGGTTCAAACTCAGAAGCAAGTCAAACCCAGCACGCGTTGCCAAACTAGCAGGGGAAACTTGTCTGCTTGAGATGCTTCTGTATTGCCTTTGTATTGATTTGAACAGGAGAAAAAGCAGCTTACAGGTAGCTGGATAGGAGAAGCTATTCTCACTGAGCACACCAAAGCAAATTCTGTCAATTCTTCCCTATTGACAAAAGAAAGGTAGGTCACAGTGTGTAGCGACGTTTCAGAACCGTTTCGGCCCTTTTTTCACTCTGTCTGCCTGAAGAAAGGACGGAAATGGTTCCGAAACGCCACTACACATCGGGACATGTCAAAGAAGAACGGAGAGAATATGCTTTGGTGTGCTGGTGACTATATTTGGAATTTGCACTTGATTTTGCGGTGGCACCTGCAGTCAGTACAGCACACGCCCGATGTTTTGGGTTGTATCCTGTCAGGAGTGCGATGGGATTCTATGAAGTTTGGCTATTCCTATTGAAACAAAAAGCTAAGCGACCAAAGCAATAAACACAACATAAACACTGCTTCATAAAATCCAAAATCAAAATGTAAACACTGCATAGCAAACTTTTACAAACACACAAAAAAACCTAAATAAAAGCTAGAATGAAAAATCTGAAGCCAAGAAATGAGAAGCAGAACTTCCTTCTCGTTAAAAGAGAACTATGGGGTAAGTGTTTTTCCCCATAGTTCTCCTCAGGGTCACGGGAGGACATAAACTAGCGTCCTACCGTGACCCAAAGTTCAGTATACCGCAAGCTACACCTCACGGTATACTGAGACCGCCGCAGCCGGGACGGATCCCGACATTACTGTGGAGATCCATCCAGCTGCGTGATTGACAGCTGGCTCTGCCTATGTAGAGGCAGAGCTAGCTGTACCCGCCCCCTCCCCCGTTCGTTCCTCCAGTCAGCGCTGGAGGATCGGAAAGGGGGATCCCTGCAGGAAGCCATGAGTGACAGTCACGGCTCTCTGCAAGGACAGGATCGAGAAGTAAGCGAGCGACGGTGTGCGTTCGCACACTTCCCGATCTACTGAGCCGACCTGTGACAGTTTCATTGTCACACGTCGGATCAAACTATGAGGTTGAGTGAAGATCAGTCACCTCATAGTTCTCCTTTAATGAGTTTCTGGACATTGTTATATTCCTTCTTTCTTTCTCCTTAGAATGAGTGGCCCTTTTTTTTTTTTAGCGTCTTGGCAATAGATCTGTTCTAAATGACAAAATCTGACCCAGCTGTTATGATCAACACAAACATTCCCCTTTCAAATAACGTTTGATACAAGCGTTTTGCTGCATTACGTTGCTACTTTGTTAGATTGCATAGACGACACATGGTCTCAAGTAGGTTGTCCAATCAACTCATAAATCAATGTTCAGGATGACAAAATGTAATCTTTCCAGGTAATAAAAGAAAATAAGTGTAATCAAAATCATCATCATCAACATTCCTCCTTCAGTACACAGTCTGCTGTTCTCAGAAACCTGACAGCTGAATTATAAAGATACAAACCTCTTACTGGCACCAAAAATAGAAACAAAATAACAATTTGCTCAGTTGCTTAGATGAGCAAGTCAAGCTTTGGAACAAAGTGTTCTGGTCACAAGAGACAAACTCTTACTGAAGGCAAGGTAAGGTGTGATTGAAGGACTGAACTATAGGTGGATACACAGAATGCTGTACCAAAAATGGAGCTAGAACCACGGCCTGACCAACATGGCTGTCTCCGAGTCTGACTCGCTCATTTCATAAAGGTGATTAATGATTGTGGCAGCTCACTTAGAATAAATACACATTCATCCTTCAACAAGAACATGACCCAAGACATTACCACGTGGTCTCCAACTCACACTGGTGCTAAATAGAAAGGAAAAGGCCCAGATCAGTTCCCTGTATAAAATGCAACTGCATACTTTCCTTCTGAAGATGTTAAGTCAAAGTAGAGTCTTAGCTAAAAAACTAAAATGGAAGAAATGGTTTAGCAACATGAAAACCTTCCATTGCTCATGCAGTTAAACCCCAACTCTAGACAGAACTTTTTTTGTCTGCAATAGTAAGAAAGGGATGGAACCTCTGCCTCTGGTTTTATTGCCGTTTCCCCATTAAGTAGATATCCCATAACTAACTTCCAGCCTCAGTGACTCCATGGGGGTTGTTCACAAAAAGGTGAAGAGTTTGGAGAAGTGAACAATCTAGGACAACATAGCAGATTTGGAAAAATCCTCCAATTAAGCTCACTTCCCATTTCAGCTATGTTGTCCTAGATTGTTCACTTCTCCTGCCTTCTCCAAACTTCACCGTTTTGTGAAAGTATCGTGCAGTATAACATATAAACCCAGTATTTATAAAATAGATTACAAAGACATATTAATGTAATCTACAATTATACAGATAGGGATACATCCTTACACAGGTTGTATTGCTGAGACCTGCAGCCATTAAAGGAAACATTCCCTAAAAAGAAACATAGGCTTTTATTGTTGACTTATTATTCATTTGAGGGGTTACTTGCAACTAGAGCCTCTTACTGATCCTAGATGCAGACACGTTGAGTTCAGGGATGACCTTTCTGCAGAGTTTCTGGCCACATGCAAACTGGCCACAGCCAATCGCCCAGATTGTATGCAGCTGTGTTTAGTAGGGATGCACCGATACTAGTATTGGTGCTGATGCCGAGTATTTGGGCGAATACTTGATGCCTAGCCCGATACTTCTGGTATCAGGAAGTTGGGCAGCGCGTCATTACATGCTGCCGGCTTCCTGATTGGCCGGGAAGCCAGCTCCATGCTCTCTCGTCACTTCATGCTCCCCGGGCCAATCAGGAACCGGGCGCTGTGTAATGACAGCTTTCCGATTGGCCAGAAAGCCGGCTCCATGCGTTCTCGTCACCTAGTGACCAGAAGCATGGGGACGGCTTCCCTGCTAATCAGGAAGCTGGGTGGCGAGTCTTTACACGCTGCCCGGCTAATCAGGAAGCCAAGTGGCGAGTCATTACACGCTTCCTGAATGGGATTTCCGGTACTCTGTATCGGCGAGTACAGAAAAAAAAAAAAAATATCGGTACTCGTACTTGATACCAAAATACCGGTATCGATGCATCCCTAGTGTTTAGCCACATCTGAACATAGCCCATGATAACCCATCTGAATGAGGCCTTAGGTTCGATTCTAACCAAGGTCAAATTTTGCACAGGTATTTCATGGGGACTCAGACAAATGAAGAGCTGGGAGAGCAATAGGAAGGCAAGTATTAACAGTGGAGGAACACCAAATTGGCAAAGAACAGGTTCACTTTAATCCTCCTATTGGACATTTTTTCCTGTAATAGTTTAGTAGACAGCACTGGAAATGCTGAGAATGATTACGATGTATTTATGTGCAACTATAATCCCTGTAAACATTTTGTATCAAAGACAGGCCTAACCCCTTGTTTGCAGGTTAAAGAGATTATCACAGGGGGAATTGGGAGAAAACTGCTGCAGATATGAAGTGCAGGCATCTTGAGGTACGCACACATAGTTGCAGCAGTCTCTAGAACCTTCCTGTCAAAACTGAATGCTGGGTGGTCATACAAGCAAAGGTTCAACACCCCCCGGTAATGTTGGCACTTGCTGCTAAGCCCATCTTTTCTGTTAGCCAATAACGTTGATAGTCAGCCTTACTGGCCAACAGGAATGCACAGGAGGTAGTAAGAAGGCAATTATCAGCACCATCAAAACGTTCTGAAGCTTTGCGGTCATAATAGCCTGAAATAATGCCACGAGGTTGAAGTTTTAGAAGGCTGCTGAAGGTTTGGTAGATACACACACCTCTAGGTCAGTGTTTCTCAACATTTTATCAGTCATAACACCCTTTAAAAGTATGCAAAATCGTAAAAGCAAAATGTAAAAAACATGTCGCCTCTACAAAATCCATACCAGACACTTATCCAAGATAGGTGTCTGGTATGGTTTTTTTAAAGGGGGACTCCAAGCACACACATAAAAAATAGGGTTCCCCTTCACATCAGAACCCCCTGATTCACATCAAAATCCCCCTTTTCACATCAGAATCCCCCTTTACAGCAGGGGCACCCATTCCTTCAACATCAGAGGCATGACACTGTGTGAATATTTTGAGGCACCCCTGAGGAAGCCTGAAGGCATCCCAGCGTGTCATGGCACCCTGGTTGAAAGGCTGCTCTAGGTGCCTGCACATCCTTGTTGCATCAGTTTAGGACACCAGTTATCATGGTTTAAAGTAAAATTCTACGTTTAGAAAAAGCTTGTCGATAACTGGAGCAGGTGAGGACTTGCAATAACATTCCTTGCAAAGACCATCATTCACCTAAAAAGGGATTTTTTTTTTAACTCTCACAAATAAAATAAGTTGTAATTTGATTATGAACCTTTTTTTTTGTTGCTCTAGTTGTTTTATACTCTGCTAGAGAGCAGACAAAGGTCCAAAAGGAGTTTAGTTTTATGAGACCTATTTATGATGTGGTTGTTGGATGTAGACATTCATAATGGAAGCTGGTTAGTGTGTCAGCCCAACAGTGTTCACTTACAACTAAAATATAGATCTTTAGCATGTTTTTACCAAACTGAAAGTTAGTAAAACATGCTAAGACAGTGGTTCACAACATGTGTAACCTCAGGACCCACATTTGTCCTTGGTCATTAAGTCGTGACCCAAGTTGCTCGGCACTGTGGTACCGTGCGTTATGGTGCAGGCGATCGAACTGTGGGTGGGACATGCCTTTGGTGTGCCATTCAAAATGAATGGCAATGCAACACACCTCCCACACCAGAATCTGCGTTAGGTGCAATTGCATGGTAAGGTGCGTTAATCGCACGGGAACAGGCCCTCAAAAATACTGACATACACACACAACCACAGACAAAATCTCCCACTCAGACATTCTCTCACACACACGTATGGATGGAACTCCACTGTCAAGCTGACACTCGGTATTGGGCAGCATATTTTGAATGGCTGCTTGTTGTGAGAACTAACAGTGCTACGCTAGGAGGAGGCTGTGGAGACTCACCTAGAAAAGTTGAAGGCCTGCGGTGACCCACTGAACACAGGATCGAGACCCACATTTGGATCATGACCCACCAGTTGAGAACCAATGTGCGAAAGTGTCTGTACTAAAACAAATTAATTTCATGATTCTTTGGTTATAGCCTCTGTCGTACCAACACAAAAATGACCTGCTGAATACAATAAATGTCATTGTGCCTCTACAAATTGATGTACTACAGTAGATTAGTTGACCTTACCTCTGAGTATTGGCCTCTTTCTGATCCTGAAAATAATGAGTACCAGGAGCTGACTCAGAACCATGACAATAAACAGCACCTGAGCCTGCGGATAGACAAAAGGTCATTTATTTAGAGCTTGGAGTTGGTATATAAAATGTAGATAAATAATAGGAATTAGGACAATATGAACAATATGACTACAGCTGGCTGTACACTGTTGGAATTTCATTCAAACATTCACTCAAAATCATTCATCAGAGCATTCAATCATGCCATCATTGAGTCAACTAATTTTCTTTGAAAGCCCTTAAAAATTCCATCCATACCTGCTACTTAAATGGAGTCCCAGACCTAAGTATCTTTTGTGCCTAGCACATGTGCATTACAATATGTACAGTTTTTTCCCCAAACGAAAATCACATTCCTAATTAGAATTTTGTTTCATTTGTTTTGCTCCTTCCATCTTCCTCATGAATATGATCAAAAATGAACATTTATTGGACCCCACTATTATAATTTTTTTTACATTTCAAGATGAAATTTAAATGCAGGCCCCAATGAGAGCGTACCATTTTTAATTTATACAGATTCTTGAAGCATTCATGTTGGAAAGGACTAACTAATTCAGGAAGAGTGAGGTGGCAGGACGAAGCTTGATTTTTACAAGAAAAGAAGTGCACAATTTCAGCTCCCTTTATCTCTGCATCAAAGGGTTTTCACTGAAGGTATCCGGTACTTATATATTCTTTCCATCATCAGCTCCATTTAATCAATTTTTTGACTGATTTCAGATTGCCCTTTTTTTTTTTTTACAGGTTTGCTTTAAGGAATAAAAAAAAAAGCCTAACTTACCACGATGTAGTGATCTGTAAGAAGAATAAGAGATGGAAACAGGCTGAAGCTGACAGAAACATCATCTTCTAAGCTGAACAGATGGCTTCTGGTTTGTTTCCTCTCAGCTGCATCCTACGACACAAATGGTGAAGTGTTGATACAATAAACCCTATGATTGCTGGCCACACAGCCTCCAATATCATGCAAGCCTGGCCCCAAAGTGATCATTTGACACAAAAATGACCTGGTTAGAACCAATACAGATTATTTTTTTTCGTTCTACCCTGAAAATCTAATCTTGAAACAAATAACAGTCAGCCACTGAAAATTGATTAGAACCATATTTTGGTAGGATTTGGTTTCAGCACTCATGTATGGCCGAACTAGATCAGGTAGCAGGATCAAATAGGTGTGGCCAATATTAGACCAGGAAGGAGTCAGTGAAAATATTGTGGTCATCATACAATGTTTTATACCAAAACCTAAAAATTACAAAGGCAAAATGCTGGAATGCATGCAATATTAAAGGTCAAGTTTACCCAAAATGTTTTTGCAGAAAGGATGTAGCATCTCTGCTAACTGAAGGTTATCACAAGGCACAAAGCATGCCAGTACAACTGTGCATTTTTGGTCACCTAATCTGTGGAGCTGTGTGCAGCTGCCATGTGGATGCCCTGCAGTAAGCTCTCTTCATCTCTCCACAGACCTTCACAAAGGACTGTTAACATCAATGTAGGAAAATGAGTGTGGGGCTCTTGGATCTTCAAGTCCACATTTTTGCATCTTAATACAAGACTGTGCTTGACCTGACGTGAGCGGTAATGTACATTTAGGGCAGTCAGAACAGGGAATGATGATTTCTGATTGGGTGCTCTGGCACCACACTTTACCTAAACATTAAATCAAGGGGAAAGGTTTAATCAGTATTAAAAAAAAAGGTACATATAAAGTGCATCAACCAAAGAAAACCACCATATGGCCAAAAAAACAAAAAGGAGGATAGACAAGTGCATCTGTCCAACTTCAGTTCATCTTTGACTCTTGAACCTCAAGTTGAATTGCCAAGGCTCAAAGTGAAGGTCTGTGTTGATGGTCTTTGGGCTTGTGTCGATGGGCAAATGCAGCATGCTTTCAGGTGCTGTCCACTTGCATTTGAGATCAGTTTAAGATGCTTTTGAGAACATTCACAGTTCTCTAAATGGAGCGCCTGACCTGCTTTTGACCTCCTAAGCTGTATCGAATGTCTTTAAGCGGTTTTGCATTCCCACAAAAAAAAAAAATCCCACTGATACAGGCCTTAATTAAAACCAAATTAGGTGGAACATATACACCTATCAAAAGTAAGACTACACAGTTCTAATGGTATAAGACTAAATATCAAGATTCTTGCATAAGCCCAAGCATGACGGACATTCTTTGCATTTTTACAGTTGCTTTATAAATTGCCGAGTACAATGCAGACACTTTAAATATGTTCTTTTCTTTTTACCTTTACTTGGACTTTGACCTCATGTAGTCCACTAATATAGGCTTCAGCACTCCACTCAAACACATACAATGGACCAGAGGAATGCTCAGCTTCACCCATTTCAATGCCATCTATGAACACCTTGACAGAGATGATGGGATCCAGTGAAAATACCAGCAATCTTAAAACAAACAGAATCATTCAATCCCTTAATTTTATAAATGAATTGTAGAGTAAATACATTACATTATCTATCTTCTTACATTAACGCCTAAAAATATAATCACTGTAAACCAGGAAAATATGAAATACTGTTATGTCCATGTTTAGGCAAACAGTGCAGTGCGAAGCTAAGAGAAAGATGTCGTGAAGGTAAAGGGCTTTAAGGACACCAGTATCTAGGTGCGCCCTGTATTAAGTGTTCATCTGTAATATAAAAGGCATTTTAAAAAATTTACTAAAATCCATTATAGTTTGTCGGGAAACTCGCAACTTACAGTAAATATGAATTTGCTGATTTACAAAAAAAATTGTCAGTAAATCAACATTTATATGACAGAACAAAAAGATTCTGCTCATTTCTTTTTTTGCTGTTAAAAAAAAAAAATCAAGACAAGTGAAACCGGTGCTTGTTAAAAGGCTGAGCAATCTCACAAGTGAAATCTTAAAAATTAATTCAAGTACTTTATTAACAAAAATGTACATTATTCATGCCCCATGTAGCTGTAGATCCTCAAAGTTCATTCTGACACTGTCCTTCCTTCTGGAGAGTGGCTACTTTGGTTCCCCAATGTCCCTGAGTGTGCTGTAAAGTAGACAGCTCCAAGCTCACTCCCGTGATGGACCACAATCTCAATACAAATTAGTAAACTAAACGTGAGATTGTAGTAGATTACGAGAGTGAGCTAGGATTAGTTCTGTCCTCTTCTGGGTTCTGATTCTTTGGTCACTTGATTGGCTGGGCCCTGATGACCTAACTCCCACGCATTACTTTATCTTGACATGCTGGGTCAGTGTGCGGAGCTGCAGTAGCTTATATTCAACTTCTATTTGCTGCCGTAAATAAAAAGAAATCCAGACTCTCCTTCCCCCGATATGACAGTGCTGGTTCTTGAAGTTGGACATGCAGGCACCAGTGCTGTCACATGGGGCAGGTAAGAATTCTCAGCCTTTGTGTAAGCTCTGAGAAGGATCAACTTGCAACTTCTTCTCCTCTCTTCAGCAAATGGAGTGAGGGAGCGCAGGCAAAGCAAGCACAAGCTTCTGCAGAGGCTGGCTTTAAAAGGTGAACAGCCTGCATTGCCCTGTATAGGCAAAGCAAAGGTTCACCTTAATGACACCTGCTGCCTCCTAACCGTATTGATTGGCTTCTGCATTGCATATTCATTCATTGTGTAATCATTTTCTTGTCACCCTGACTTTCTTTCACAGAAAGCATCCGATACCTGATGTGTGTAGACTGCTGGATACGTTTCACAGGCTCCACTGCTGGGTTTGTATACAGAGCAGATTTAGGGTTAGTAATGAGAATTGCAGGCCACTCGTTATGTTGCAGGTCAATGAAGCTGTACAGGTCATGATCAAAGGCAAATATACGGTATCTGGGCAAGAAAAAAAAAAAGGCACATTATGCAATCATAAATATGATTTGTACAAACAAGGCCGGCCTTGCGCACCTACGACAATATTCCCAGCATTGAGCTCTAATAGACGGCAAAGGCAGCCCAATTAAAGCCTTTTGCTAACATTTTACTACACACAGTGCATACACTTGAACATATTCGAACATCAGAACCCACCATCAAGTTGCCTCTAAAAGTCTGGACATGTGCTATGACAATACTAGTGTAAAGCAACAATCAAGCCTTACTAGTACGTTACTGCATACTAACCTAAGGGGAACCTGCACTGAGGGAACTATGGAGGTCGACAGTGCAAATCTCCCCCTTTGAAAATGCTATTTCCTTGGATATCTCCGTCTTCAGCACTGAAACAAGACAAACATGAGGCCCTGAAGTCAGACTCCTCCTCTGCATACATAAGGGTTAGTGGCTCATAAAGTATCCATTGTATCCGTTTAGCAAGACATCCAGGCAACTAGCATTTTCAGAAAATAAAGACACACAACTGCAGAGGCACCTTGAGGGTGGTCTGTTTCTACTATATCATTTTGATTTACATTCTCGAATTTAATTCTCCTCACTAGTTCCAAGTCATTTATCATATCACTTTCTCTTGTACCGATAAACCTGTAATCTACACTAAGCAGTGCAGCCATTTTTACATTTCTGAGGTTGTTCATCAGCAAAGCCTTTCCACTGGCCCTCCTGCTATTGGAGAGCTGATGGAAGAATCTTTACTGACAGAAAAAATTATAGGCCAGTGCTTGAGTGGCTACACCTGGCGCATCTGCAACCAATAAATTTGACTTAGTTATGGCTGTCATTCTGGTCAATAATGTCCACAACACAGGAGGTGGAAGGGAACATGGCAGAGCTGTTCAGATATTTCCTCTGATGTATCATCTAAGAATGTTTCTAGCTATCTCTGTGGACTACAGAACTCCTCTTCCCCATGTACGAGAAGAGGAAGGTGTTCTGTAGAATAAAACACTTCCTGTCTTGGGTGACATTGGGGCTCCTCCGCAGATACAGAACAGTAAGTAAGCATTGTCACCTCAGGACAGACAGTGTATTAATGGCAGGTTCACCAAGTGAAGAAAAAAAAAAGTAATGCAGTGACTACATCTGAGGACTGGTAAGCGGTCACCCTGTTAGATATACCCTTCATAAGACCAAGTACTAAAAATAATGTTACCTCCTATTCTTCATCCAGTCTCCAAGCTCCAGCTCCAGGGTGCCTTGTTGATGCTGACTATGCAGGACAGGTGCCAGCCCTCCCAGAGTGTGCAGGTGACCACACATGTACGCCACAGCCGAACTAAAAAGGAACACAACATAAATGTGAGCAACCTGTGACCTGCTCAGACAAAATTGCTGAGCGTTACTGTCCGACGATACAAAAAGTTTTATTGTACTGACACTGTGAGCAAACAATACATTTTCAAAAATCGACTTTCTTCTAGGATCATAAAGACGGCTCCATTTCAATGAACGCACCAATAAGAATACTTAAACTATTATGTTTAAATAAAGTTATGAGGACAGCTAGACATGTTCAAATATTTAAAACAGAGCTCCAGGCAAACAGCTAAATACGTAGTTGATATACACTGAGTGGCCAGATTATTATGACCACCTGACGTTTGTAGGCAAATTAGCTATAATTTGGTGCTGAAATTGCTAGAGGGCCAGACCATTATAAATAAGGAAGTAGGTTGTTTACCACGACAGTAGAAGTGATTTTTTCTGAAGATATGGGTAAACAACGCAATTTAACAGCCTTTGAACGTGGGATGATTGTTGGCGCTCTGAGCCATGGGGTGAGCATCAGCAAAACAGCAGAATTCGATAAATGTTCAAGAGGGGCTCATTGTTAAAGTGTTTAAAGACTGGACTGTCAGCCGAAAATCTGGGTCTGAATGTGCGAATTGTGGCCGTCAGCGACTAGTCAATGTTAGGGCAGAACGGAGAGTGGCAAGACTGGTACAAGACAACAGAAGGGCAACAGTGCAGTGTCAGATTCCTCGCATCACCTTTCAACATCCCGTGGAGTTACGAGGCGGCCCAACGAAGTCATCTCGAGGAGTCATCACGTGGCCCAACGAAGTACTGATGGGGTGGTCATAATAATCTGGCCACTCAGTGTATATATACAATGTGTACTGTGCTCTGTCAACTGATTTGTAATTTGCTTTAGCCAGTCTTGTCATTCAGGCACCTATGCAAGCACAGCCAGGTCCTGAACCTCCCTAAATACCGCATTGCAGCTGAGCAATTTAGCTTGGACAGGGACCTGCCTCAGACTGCGATTGGACAATGGAACATCAGCAGCACATTGAGATTTCCACTCTGCTCTCTCCATGTGTCAAGTGTTAGTTGAGCAGCACTGCGCAATGCGGTGAGCATCTCCCTCTCCCAGTGTGAGTACTGCTGTATATCGTCTTACATGAGCCTGATATTAAGACAGACAGATGCCTGCACGTTTTCCTGCTGTATGTAAAAATAAATTTAAAGAAGAACTCCTGGGAAAAATTTGTTTTAACCCTTGCAGTGGGGCTACCCCAGCACTGCAAGTGTTAACTGCTGTTTTTTTTTCCTAGGTTCAAAAATAAAAAAACGTTATACTCACCTTATGCTCTGCGCCAGCTTGTTATTACACTGGTCCCTAGAGCCTCTCTCCCCCAGGGGTGTAAGGTCCAGTAAATCATCACGTCTATATACAGTGTATAGACATAAGGACACTGAGGACGATTCCAATGATGCAGCGGAGGAGGAGGCAGGCTGGAAGGAGTGCTGTGACAGCTGGTTGGCTCTCAGGTTCCGGTGTGTATAAACTTCTTTTTTTTTTAACCTAGACAAAAATGAGCAGTTAACCCTTTCAGTGCAGGAGTAGCCCCACTACAAGGGTTAAGAAAACCGTTTCTAATCATAAGTAGATGATTAGAAAACAAATGACCAATCTATATCTGATTGGATATCATGTTCAATATGAAAGATAAAATCCTTCATGAGCTAAGAAAAGGACTTGGTAGAATCTCAACATGAAACAGTGTTATGAAGGGGAGTTATAGAACTCTGGAGGACAGTAAGAATTTTGAGCCCATGTGTGTAGTTTTAATGAAGGAAATCCATTCCAAAACTACAGCAACAGTTTATGTCTCAGTTTATGGGGTTGATTTACTAACCTTATAAACACACCACGAACAAGTATACACCTCTGTAGTGTGTTCCCTCCCAGCATGATCTATTGGAGGAATCTAGACACATTTGTAGTGTGTACACACCCAGCAGGTATGTTGTGCAAAGCCCTGCATGAATTCCAAGGTGATGTTGTGTAAATTAGCTCTACGTTGTGTTGCTTGCATTGATGAATGCAGGAATGTAAATGCATGAGCTAAACATTTTTGTCTAAACTGTGAAGCAGCATTATATATGCATCATGTGCATGATTTTTCCATATATGGCATTAGTGGAAATATGCTTTTAGAGACTTGCATGCCGCTATTAGAGCGGCGTGTAGCCTATGGCGCATGCTACATGACACGCACGTACGTAAATACATAAAAACGCGCCATAAGGGCGTGAAAATGTGACACGTTGCTCGTGTTTGGTTGATAAATATGTTTTGCTGTGTAAAAATGCACACGCACCTGGTGCGTGCGTGTGTTTAGGTTAGTAAATCACCCCCTTTGTGTCCATATGGCACCTGTGTTGCACACTAATTTATTGTACAAAAGTGTTTCAACAGAGGTGAAAAAAATACAAAAAACACACAAAAATGATACAGGTGCATCAAAGGCAACAGTGCACATGTACTGTATATAAGGGAATTTCCAAGAAACAAAAAAACAAAAATCACTTCCTTGTAGTCAACCAAAGGTCCAGCACGAGAAGTCTTTCACAATACTTAACTGGCTGCAATCCAAAATGTAATATACAACTCCTAGAAAGTAAGAATCATTTTAGTTTTGGTCTGGCATCATCACCCCAAACAGGTGGCTTCTGGTTTGTGTCATTTAAAGGACAATGATCTAGCCCTGTGCTCACAACCAAAGGGGATTTCCTTTTTTTTCTTTCCTTTTGCCACTTTCCTGTAGACTTCTGATGAAGATTTGTCTTGTTAGGAGTGCCACCTGCAGCCTAGACCTGGCATCTCTTTTCTACTAGTTGCACATCATATTTCATGGGCGGATCATATCCTACGCTCTACTGAGAGACACTGGAGGCGATGTATAAAAAGTGGAGGTATAGGATAATAGGGTACATCCAGCCAGAAAAAGGATCAGTAGAGCATATTGGGAGTTGTTTTAGAACAGCTGGTGAGGCACAGTTTGTAAATGGCCTGCCATAAAGGATGTATCATTTAGAAAATACTATTGTAGGTTGTGTTCATAAATAAATTGACATTGCATGTGCGACTGACCTCATTACTTCCCGGATCCCAGGGGAAGAAGACACAATGGTTGAAGTGGGATAGTGACCAAACCACACAGATTGGTTGCTATGAAGACTCTCCACGGCCAATGCCGACAGCTTCTGTATCTGGTCCTAGAAGAGGATTAAAAACCATAGAAGAGTAATGACAAGGGATCATTTACAGTACATTGGAAACAATGTCATGGAAAACGGAGATATAGTGGCTGGACGTAATATAAATCTTCCAAGCTGCTTTAGGTTGCCTTGGTATGGCTGGTCATCTTTGCATTCAAAGTGAAATTAATTGCTAAAAAACAGAGGTGTGTGACCGGCATTAAAAAGGAGAACTATGGGGTCAGGGCTTTTCCCCATAGTTCTCCTTAGGGTAACGGGAGGACACAAACTAGCGTCCTCCCGTTACCCTAAGCTCAGTATACCGCGAGCTACAGCCTGCGGTATACTGAGACGCCGCAGCGGATCCCGACATCGATGTCGAAATCGGCCCAGCTGCGTGAGTGACAGCTGGCTCTGCCTATCTAGAGGCAGAGCCAGCTGTACCCGCCCCCTCCCCCGTCCTTTCCGCCAGTCACCGCTAGCAGATCGGAGCGGGGGGAGGGGAATCCAGCCCCTCCCCCTGTCACGGCAGAGAGCCGTGACAGGATCGAGAGGTGAGCGAACGCCGGTATCTGTTCGCTCACCTCCCGATCTACTGAGCCGACCTGTGACAGTCTCATTGTCACAGGTCGGCTAGAACTATGAGGTGAGTGGAAATCACTCATCTCATAGTTCTCCTTTAAGGAACGTGTAGTCTTTAGAAGCAGTTTTGTTTTCATTTTAGATGTCACTAAGATCACCTTAATGCTGAATTCCAGGCAAATCGGCTAAATACACAGGTGAAATACATACATCAGCGCTGTTTTACCAGCCAAGGGATTCATATTTGTGTCCATCCAGTCCTGTGATTTATGAATTTGGGAAGTGTATTCAAACCCAATAACATAAATGTAATATATTTCACCTCACCAGTCCTTAAATGTGGTGACCATATTAGTTTCATCCAGGCTTTTTTCCCTTTATTTTTACCTGGTGATCCTGCCAGTGACACTTCCTGTCCTAGGGTGACAACACTCAGTGCACTGTATCTATGGAGGAGCAGTGTTACCCTAGGCTGATTTGAACTGCAAAAAACTTCCATATATTCATTAAATGGGGAGGCATAGTTTGTTTTGTTGCTCATAGAAGATATCTGGGAAAGCTAAAAACATTGTTTAAGATAACAGTTCAATGCACAGAAAGTAATGAGGACATTTTTTCAGGCGAAGCACGTTTTCTGCAAGTTGAGCTTGCCTGAATTCCAAACGAATGCAGCCACCACTTTGAAGGACTGGTAAGCTACAATACATTAACATTTTTGTTCCTGGGTTTCGATCATTATGGAGCCATGTTCATTTTGCCTTTACATCTGCCTGAACTTCAGCTTTATTGTAAATCTTACCAGTGTTTCAAGATTTTAAAAACCGTTTGAAAGCATGGTTTGTAATAGAATAGGTACACGGGGCAGTCATACTTGACATACAGTCAGGAAAATATGGAACAGCCAAATTTAGAAAGTGAAAGTCAAACACCACAATAGCGCATTACCTGGTGGTTTTAAATGTCAGTCTATGACCTTACAGGGAAGATTTTACTGTCTTTGTGACACCTGTACAAGGAATGGGGGGAAGCAGTTGTCATCAGAACAGGAAGGCATCACCAGAAATAAAGCCAGTCAGATGTTCTATGCCAGTGGTAGGCAACCTCGCCACTCCAGCTCTTGTGGAACTACAAGTCCCATGAGGCAATGCAAAACTGACAGCCACAAACATGACTCCCTGAGCAGACGCATGCTGGAATTTGTAGTTTCACCAGAGCTGGAGTGCCAAGTGCTTACCCTTGTTCTATGCCTTCCTCAATGAGTTTTTGTCTGTCTCCACAGGAGAGATATCCCATCACTTTCTGTACTGCTGCTGCTGTTCTAGGCACCAGAAACGTATGTGGGCTTGGTGCGAACAGAGTTCTCCCGAGCCTGCGCAAATCTGTCAGTGACACATCCCCTCCTGGCCCTACTGGTTGTGGCATTCCCCATCCCTTTGGTATGTGTAGCTAAGGGGGGGGAAATGCCCCGGATGCAGCTGATGGGGCAAGGAGGGGAATGTGTCAGTGACAGTTTGGTGCGAGTCTGGATGAACTCTGTTTGCACCAAGCCCCACGCACATCCCTACTAGGGACACAAACAGCAATAAAAACCTAACTGGGGATATATCCCTTTACTGCTCTAGTAAAACCAAAATGAAACATTTCAGCTGGGTGCTATCAGCAGAATTGACTGCATGTACCTTATTACTTTTCGTGTGCAAAAATCAATTCACAAACAAAGATTGTGCAAATTACGGCCCCTTGAAAATGCAACCAGCTTCTAGCTGGCACTAATTGTGAGTTTCAATGAGCTGTCTTATTCAGGAGAACAGAAGACTGAGCCAGTCATGGCGAAGATAAAACACTGATTCACGAGAAAAATAAAATAGCCTTTCATGAGAAGTAAACAGTTCAATAATATTTTTCTTACTTCTGTATGTGTATTGTACATTTTGATGAGAAAATCATCAAGAGATTAAATAAACTCCGTAATAACAACTCATCCATCTTGATGTAATGACACAATTCAATAGCATGCAATTACTGACAATTGAAAGCAGCACTGTGTGAGTTTAGCTAGAAAGTATCAAAGATAACTGATACTAACAGTGAAACAATATATAAATGGTTTGCAACTAAATCAGCAAAGTATACACATATGCTAATACATGCTATAAAGAACACACACATCAGTAAAAATTATAAATTGCTTAGAAAACGTCCATATTCATGAATCTTCAAAAGTCCAACGGAAAAATAGAAGACATATTGCTACATGGTCTATTGGGACAAATTTGCTGTCTTAACACCGGAGGCTAATCACCAGGATTGGGAGGACGAATTACCGGGAGGTGTTCGGTGTCAGGTGCTTCCTCTTCCTGTCTTCAAAAAGAGGAACAGCGCATATAGACCCTGATGGGTCTTTGATAAAAGGTGAGGTGCATTGCGTAAGATTCCTCTGGTGACTGTCACGGGAGATTGGGATTATTTTTCATCCACCTATGAGTCTATTTTTCCGTTGGACTTTTGAAGATTCATGAATATGGACATTTTCTAAGCAATTTATTATTTCACTGAGGTGTATGTTCTTTACAGCATGTATTAGCATATGTGTATACCTTGCTGATTTTGTTGTGAACCATTTATATATTGTGCAAAAGCAGAGACACCGGCACTCCAGGGTAAAGAACAACAACGTCTATTTATTGACGTGCCGCATACCAAGTATTGCAATAAATAGACGTTGTTGTTCTTTACCCTGGAGTGCCAATGTCTCTGCTTTTGCTCATACTTGTGACGGTTGCCATCTGTCGACTACCGTAGCACCAGCTTTTTGAAAAGGGATCGTGCGGTCAGGAGTGCGATGGGACTATGGATTTATTATATATATATATTATATA